AACAAACATAAGACATAGCTTCCTCTTCCCCCAAGTGGCCCAAGATAACCTCTGAAAATGGTTTGCTATTCACTCCATCCCACAAATCATGCCAAGTCAAGAAGCTACATGTTCATGGTCACTTTAAGAACACATGTGAAAATGCCCAGGCCATCAAGGGTAAGCATATCTGAAAACCACCAAATACCTGAAGGACGTCACTTTGCAGAAGCAATGTGTGCCATTCCGTCATTACAATGACAGAGTTGGTAGGTGAGTCCAGGCTAAACAGTGGGACTGGACACGGGGTTGGTGGCCCCCACAAAAAAATGCTGAATTTTTGCTGCACATGCTGAAAAATGCAGAGTAGTGCAGAACTTAAGGGTTTAAAAAGATTCTCTGGTCACTGAGCACACCCAGATGAACAAAGCTCCCAAGATGTGGCAGGGAGCTTACAGAGCTCACGGGCAGATTAACCCACACGTGAGCCGTCCCTGCCACATGGAGATGATGCTACCTAAAAAGTGCAAATTGTTCCTGAGCCAGAAGAGGAGGTTGCACTGAAGGAAAAAAACATCTCAGAAGAAACTGAAGAAAAACAAACAAACATATGCCCAGGAGTAAGATTAAAATAAATGCTAAATAAAAATTTTAAAAGAGCGGATATAAATAAACCTAGAATTATTCCACCTTGTTGATTTTTATTATTTACTGTAATGGAAGGAGAAGGCAAAGCTATTACAAAATCAAAACAAGGAATACATTTAAACTACATATTTTGTTTACTTAAGCTAAATTCAAGATGTTTTATAGACTTGTCTACTTAGTCATGCTCAGGCTCTAGGTTAACTTCAGAACTTGGAGGGAATTAGAAAATACATCTAGGGGAGGTAGAAAAGACTAACGGGGGTCAAATATATGACGATGGAAGGAGACTTGAGCTTCCATCTTTTGGGTGTAAACACGGAATGTATTATAGAACTGTACACTTGCAACCTATGTAATTTTATTATCCAATGTCGTCCCAATAAATTCAATAAAAAATTTTTAAAAGTACATCAAACCCAAGTGTCTCTCCCACTGGTTATCTTACAATAGCACTTTTACTCATTTTGGGGAAGGAAAAATGGAAGCTCTTCAGAAGAAGGACATTTGTGCCCTGCTCACAGATTCAGGTGGCAGCTTTCCAGGTGGGCCAGGGAAAGGGAGACAGAGAGGAAATACGTCCAAATGCACAGAACCTTTAGGGGTTTCCTATGGTTGGATGTAGGCTACGTAATGAAATGGGTCAAAAATGGGCCTGGAGAGTACAGGTCATCAGATCAATAATGTCTCATGGCACGCTGGGCAGCTAGGCCTCACCCCAGGGCAATGGGGAGCCATTGAAGGGTTTTAATCTGAGAAGTTAGATAGATCATGCCAACCTGTTAGATCCCTACAGACAGGATGTTGGGGTTCGGAGGGACAGAAGCTGGTGGTAGATATACACGTCTGAAGACTTCTTCAATGACCTCAGGGAAGGATGGAGGTGACCTGAGTTAAGCCAGCAGCAGTGGGGATGGGGAGAAGGAGGCAGGCAGGAAAGACAATGGAGGGAGAAGCAGCTGCACTTTGCAATCGGAGGTAAAGTGGAAGGTGAAAGAAAGGGGATCACAGAGAGACTCCAAGGCTGATGATCCCTGGGGCCATTCACTGAGACAGACACTCTAAGGGGAATAAACAGATCTGGAGGAAACATGTAGAGTTCAATGTGCGTCTGTTACCCACATTAGCTGAGCATCTACTGGACTGCCCTTAACAGTGTTGTCAAGTTGAGATGGAAAAGTAAGAACACCATGAAGACATAAATTACAGCCCATTGCAGTCTCAACAAAACAGGTAAATGACAACATGGAAAGCACTATTCAGATCAAGAGGATTGATCACTGGGCTGGGGCAGAGCTTCACATGGGAATGAGACCCCAGGGAGGCCCAAAGGCAAGTCAGTAAGCAGAAGAGGCAGCCATGGTGAGCAGAGATAGAACCAATAGCAGAACACAGACCAGGCTAGTGCAGATGGAGGAGTGTCCACACCGAGGAGTGAGAGAAGGCTGGAGGCAAAACTAGGAACTGCACCCAGAGAATTTTAACTACCGTATTTTTCGGACCATAAGACGCACCAGTTTTTAGAGAAGGGAAATGAAGAAAAAAAGATTCTGAAACAAATAGTGTCCTAAAATATTTTATGTGCATTAAAACCCAACATCACAGTCATAAACACATGTAATCAACCCTGTAAAGTAAACAGCAGCATTTAGAACCATTTTAGAGCCGGGCAAGCACACAGAGACCACACAGAGCCGGGCAAGTAAAAAAACTTTTTTTTAAAAGTATATGTGTAGGCTATATTTGGACCATAAGACGCAGGGACTTCCCCCCCCCCCACACTTCTGGGGGGAAAAAAGTGCGTCTTATGGTCCGAAAAATACGGTACATATCGCAGGCAAAGGGGACTCACTAGAGCAGTGGTTCTCAACCTTTCTAATGCCCCGATCCTTTAATACAGCCCCTCATGTTGTGGTGACCCCCAAACATAAAGCTATTTTCGTTGCTACTTCATAACTATAATTTTGCTACTGTTAATGAATCGTAATGTACATATCTATGTTTTCCGATGGTCTTAGGCTCTACAGCAACAATTCTCAACCTGTGGGTCGTGACAGGAAAACACAGATTTGTACATTATGATTCATTAACAGTAGTAAAATTACAATTATGAAGTAGCAACGAAAATAATTTTATGGTTGGGGGTGACCACAACATGAGGAACTGTATTAAAGGGTCGCGGCCTTAGAAAGGTTGAGAACCACTGCACTAGAGGGTTTTGATTCGGTAAACTGCTGGAGAGTAACTGTCAAAGGACACTTTGTCTACTAGACCAACCAATGGAGGAAAGCTATGGCCTAGCAATATGAGTTTTCCTAAGGGTGGAATCAGTGGAAATTAAAAATCAAACACAAATTCTAGAAAGGTAAAGGGAACTGAATCTGGGGCCTGGCAACCTAGATCATGCATGGGTCAGCAAACGAAGGCCCAGGGTCCCATTTCAGCCCACTGCCTGTTTTGGTGAGTAAACGTTTACTGAAACAGCCGTTCCTATTTTTGTTTACATATTACCTACGGCTGCTTTTGGGCCAGAAAGGCAGAGATGAGTAGCTGTGACTGAGACCTTATGGCCCCCAGAGCCAAAAATACTTACCATCTGGCCCTTTACAGGAAAAGTCTGCCAACCTCTGTTGCCATTATCAACCAGGGAACTCGGGGAGGGAAGGAACACGTTTCAGAAGGAAGGAAATGAGCTCAAATTTGGACACAAAGGTACCCAAATAGAAACATCTGTCAAAAAAGTTGGGGGGGAAAAAGACAAACTACGAAGACAGGGCTGGGGTCTTATTTGGGAATCTTTCTCAAAAGGTGATCACTAAGAGCCTGAAACTTTTCAAGAAAGAACACAGGAAAGGGAGACAAAAGATAGGAAGTTCGTTTAGGAGATGGATGAAATAACTAGATATGCAACCGAGTGATGGGAGGATGCATCCAAGGGCAGGGTCATGGGGTATGGAAGAAAACAACCTCACAAAAGAGAAGCCACACACTGCAGTGGGAGAGGAAGGTGAGGACGTTAATGGGACCCTAGGCTTGGGAGCCGGGAGGAATTAGGTGGGCTTCCTCCATGATACCCATCCCCTGGTCAACAGTTCTGTTGGAAAAAGTCTTCTTCATGCTAAGCTACAGTGGATCCATAGCTCTATACCTTTCTCTGTAAGTTCAATCCTACCTCTAAAATTTATCCTGATGAGAGAGAGAGAGAGAGAGAGAGAGAGAGAGAGAGAGAGAGAGAGAGAGGGAGAGAGAGAGAGAGGCGCAATCGCAAGAACATGTAGCTTAAACTATATATAGTTTATATGTATATATTGGTTGGAAGCTAAAGCTATATATGGAAGTTGGGCTTTGAATTTAAGAATTAACAGTTAAGAATTTAAAAAGTTAAGAATTTTAAAAAGTTCAAAAATTATTCTAAAAACAATAAAGGATAGATTGAAAGATAAACTGTGTGTGTGTGTGAGGGAGTTGTAGATGAGACTGAGAGTAATAGGCACAGTTAAGAATCTATTTCAGCCCTGGCTGGTTTGACTCAATGGATAAAAGCGTCGGCCTGGGGACTAAAGGGGTCCTGGGTTTGATTCTGGTGGGGGGTACATGCCCAGGTGGCGGGCTCAGCCCCCAGTAGGGGGTGTGCAGGAGGCAGCTGATTATCATTCTCTTTCATCATTGATGTTTCTATCTCTCTCTCCTTCTCCCTTCCTCTTTGAAACTAATAAAAATATATTTTTAAAATAAGAACTTATTCCTATAGTGCAGGTCAGTGGTGGAGGAGAAGGGAGGGAAGGAAACATTCCAAAAGGAGCTCCAGATGACTTGGGGGCTGGGGGTGAGGGATGAGGAAAAGCCAAAGGGCTCCAGCATCTGGAAGCCTGGAAGAGTTATCCTGGAAAAAGTAAGAGGACCTAGAAGATCAGTTGGTTTGAGATGATTCTACTTTTTAAAAAGACTGATTTTGTAGGGAGACATTCAGGAAGAAATGTTTGGCCAAAACGTAGATGGGGCCTGAAACTTAAAACAAAGGACCAGGCAGCGTTGTTGGAGCCACCCACACAACAAGGACAACTAAAGCACAAGGCACTTGACCCCAGAGCAGAGGGTACAGTTCAAAGAGCAGAGTTGAGCACCAAAGCCAAGTTTAGAGAATGGGAGGAAGTCCCAGCAAAAGAGAAAGAAGGGAGTGCACTGTATTCACCTGAGCAGCTGCACGTGTTTTGGCCCCATTTATGTTCACAACCACCATCCGAGTGAGAAAAAGAACAGCACAGCACCATTAACCCCACTGCAGTGAACAGGCACCCGGAGGTAAGTGACTTAGTAAGTTGCTGGCAGGTTAAACTAGGTTTGGATTTGGGGGTCTTAACACATTAGAAACCAGTAGTTTCATTGCTAGCATTACCCAGTGGCCAGGTAAGTTTCTATTGAATGAGTACAAAAGACGTTTTTGCATAAATGTTAAAGGCACACTTTAAAATTAAATACCCATTGCATTTTCAAGTTATTTATTACATATTCTTACAGCTAATATCTTTTTAAAGAATTCTCGTGATTGGCCACAAGCCTTAGAACAGAAAACACGAGAATTCTCGTGATCCATCCACAGTGTCATAACTACCATTCCCACAATCCTGGGAACAGAATCCTAATACATTTAAGGCTTTAAAAAAATAACCTGATTAATATTTTCTACACAAAAGGGTTTCATAAAGCTCACCTGTCCCATTCTCTCACTTCTTCTGAAATTAAATTTGCCTGCTCTCAGAAATGAGTTTCCATTCACAGCTGCAACCCAACCAGAGCACCAGCAGGGACAGCCTGACAGCAGACCAATTTTGAAACATCAGTTGGAATGAAAAGCAGAACTGCTTTCGGAAGCAACTGGTTGGCAGGACTTGCAGAAAGATGTTAAACCAAACAGCGAGTTCAGGCCATCGTAGGGCTTGTGTAAGTGAAGAGGAGGTGCCTGAGACAGTGCGTCCACCACCCACCTCCCACCTCCCAGCTCAGATCTAAATCAGAGATTTTAAAACATGGTAAATCGGGGCTTTCAGGGGAATTTCCTCTGTCGCTTCACTATAACCCAAACGCATTCTCTGGCCCTCAGGTCCTGCCTTCTCCGAAAGCACCAAGTGACAAGGCCACACCAGCCCTTGGCTTTTCCCATAGGAAACGGCTTTCCAATATTTATTCCTATTTCTTCCACCTAGCAGCACTTGGAAGCTCTTAAAAATGCCTTCCTTTGCACGGGGGACTTTTTAGGACATGAAACTATTCCGTATGGTGCTGCAAGGGTAGAAGCATTTGTCAAAACAATTGGAACCTTACAGCATAGTGAACCTGAATTTATGAAATGTTTTTTAAAAAGCATTTAGGGAGTCAAGAGATGGCAAGATGGAATGAAGACTGCAACCTGAGAATCAACTGTACTAAATTATGGAATGACCTCACTCTAAGGAGTGAGGGGAAAAGCGCTGACCTGAGTAACTCTGGGAGTGAGTGGAGACTCCAAGATGAAAGGCAAAAGGAACTCCACACAAGCACGGAACCTCATCTGGAAAAGTTGAGTGCTGGTGGATAGTACCAGTTAGCCATTCTGAAGCCACTGTGTAAGTAAGTGAATGGCGGATGGTAGGAGCCCATTTTTTTATTCTTAGAATGGGAGTTTTACGACAAGTATGGGAGAAATATCTGCATTGGAATTGAAAACATCAGTATGAACTCATGTTTGGTTGTTATAGATACATATGGATAGATATAGAGACATACTTGTAGATTACACACACACACACACACACACACACACACACACACACACACACGGGTTAGTATAATATCTATTCTCTTGTCTGTCAGCTAAGTGGACCTAGAAGCAATGATACCCAGTGTCTAAACTTGATTTCTAATACCATTCCCTCAGTAAAAGACCTAGGGCTCCTTGAGAAAATGGCTAATTCTAGGAGTGGAGCAAATAATACATATAATGAAACTGTAGCATCTTACAGTGCCAGAGTGAATAAGAAAGAGCAAGCAAACAGAAACGCAATGATGCGGTATGTCCCAAAGAGACACAGGAGCCGACTGAAGGAGTTCCAACTGGAAGAGTTTAAGCAACAAAATAATGGATTATAAACTGAAGTATAAAATAAATATCCATGAGTCTGTACTAATCTACACGAATAACGGAGTGAGTGAATAAGTGGGGGAAGGACACATCTCTCAAGCAGAAGAATACCAAGTAACATGTACCTACTGCCCCTGTCCAGTGACTTCCTTCCCCAAAGCATGGAAAAGGGAGAAGAGTAACTTTACGGAGAAACCTGACACACACACACACACACACACACTCTCTCTCTCTCTCTCTCTCTCTCTCTCTCTCTCTCTCTCTATATATATATATATATATATATATATATATATATATAATTTTTTTTTATTGATCTTTTACAGAGAGGAAGGGAGAGAGATAGAGAGTTAGAACATGGATGAGAGAGAAACATCGATCAGCTGCCTCCTGCACACCCACTACTGGGGATGTGCCCGCAACTAAGGTACATGCCCTTGACTGGAATCGAACCCGGGACCCCTCAGTCCCTAGGCCAACGCTCTATTCACTGAGCTAAACCGGTTAGGGCCCTGATATAATCTTGCTCAGCCACATGATCGAGGTTCACAACACCAGTCCTAAGTCATGTTGATAGTAAGTGCGCGTGCACTGCGTGAGGAGGTCATTGATGGGATGAGATGAAATGGGGCACTTTACCAAAACCCCATAACTCACGTCAAACCACAAGAGAAACACCAGACAATCCCAAATTGAAGGAAATTCCACACAACACCTGACAAGTACTCTCCATGCTTTTTAGCTCACCCAAAGCAAGGAGAGTCTGAGAAACTGCCACAATCTCAAGGAGCCTAGGAGACATGACAACTAAATATAACATAGGCTCCTAGTGGGATCCTGAGACAGAAAAGGGATAGTAGGTAAACACTAAAGAGTGTGAAAAACAATGAAAAACAATGGCACTGAGTTAGTGATAATGTATCGTCATTGCTTCATTAGCTGTGGCAAGTATACCTTCCGAATGTACGTTATTACTAATAGAGGAAACTGGGTGTGGCGTGTATGGGAACTCTCTATACTACCTTCACAATTTGTCAGTAAATCGGAAACGCTTCTAGAATTAAACCTCTCTTTAAGAAAATTGCCTTTTAAATAAAAACTGCCTCCACTGAGCCCTAAATCCAGGTAATCGAGAAATTAAAATCTGAATTAGTAACAGTATGACAGGGAATAAATTTGATTTTCACTAAATGGATGTTGGTAGGGGAGAACCAGAAGCATCAGTGCAAAAAAACATACTTGACCTTTTTAGATTGTGTATGTGACATTAGCATGTTAATGTTGGGCTATCCAGTTCCCAAGTTTCCCCATCTGGCACGAAGTGAGCACATCCCAGGCTGAGCCAAAGTTCCTACTGCAGCATTGAGTGTTATGTTACTCCACACCCCTGCGGAAAGCGGAAGGCCCGTGGGGAGAACTCCAAGATTTTTTTTTTAAGTATTCGCATTCCCTTTATCCAAATTGCTTTCAGACAAGCAGTTGAAGTGTCTTTCCTTAAGCTAAAAGTGAAAGAAAAGAGACAGGCAAAGAAAGGGGAGAGAGAAAGAACAAAGAGAGAGAAGGGAAAGAGGAGAGGAGGGGAGAGAAATCAGCTACAAAGCACTTCCAAATACCATCCACCATAATGAGTATGTTTTGGCGCTAAGGCTGTGTAACGCGAATGACATCATGCCTATTACACTATCTGATTTCACAGAGTTGCAGAAAATCTGAACAGGAACTCCCCATCCTAAAAATGGATAGATTTGGAGCAGGTTGAAAAGACAGCCCAGGGTTTCATTTTCCTGCCCCGTTGCTAAGGGAGGAAGAGCTTCAAGAACATCGCCCAGCACCCCCTCTCCCACCCCATCAGGGACCTCCGGATTCACTCAGTACAAAAGCAGCCCCACGCCCATCAGCATCCAACTTAACACACTTCTAGATAACTGACTCTGATGTCCACGAAAGTGTGTACAGTCATGCACCGCTTAACAAGGGCACTATGTCCTGAGAAATGCATCATTAGATGATTTTGCAGATGTTCACATTTTCTAAGATGAAACATCACAGAGTGTACTTACACAAACCTGGATGGTATAGCCCAGTGGCCACTCTGTTGACTAATGAGTTTGCCGACCACTGTAATATACTACTCTTTACCTCTTTGCACACAATATGCCACGATTGTCTCATCCTCACAGTTTCTAACTACATGGTAACATTTAGTTTAGTCCAGTGGTCAGCAAATTAGTTAACAGGCAAACCACGGCTCAGCTCCAGAGCCATGATTTGCCAACCACTGGTACAGCCTACTACACACCTAGGCTATATTGTATAACCTATGGCAACCAGGCTGTAAGTCTGCACAATACATGACTGTACAAAACAATGTGAGACTATGTCAAGAGCAAGAGAAAATGATGTAAGCAAGAGATTAAGTAAACACGGGTGTATGAGTCCCCTGCCAGTGTAATACAATGTAGTTTTACAGCAAACGGTTTTTACATAAGAAGACTACACACTAAAATAATGATAAAAAATACAGTGAATACACAAACCAGTAACATAGTTTATTATCATCAAGCGTTATGTACTGTACATAACCGTACGTGCTATACTTTTATAGGACTGGCTGCCCAATAGGTTTGTTTACACCAGCATCACCACAAACACGTGAGTCATGCATTGTGCTACAGCTTTAAGATGGTTATGACATCACTAGACAATGGAAATTTTTAAGCTCGATTATAAACTTACGGGACCACTGGCATATATATGCAGTTCCTGTTGACCAAATTGTCTCTATGTGGCACATGACTAGAGTAGTGTTCTCAATAAAACCCTATATAAAAAAAGGCTAATAGGTAAATTGACTGAACGACAGAACAACCGGTTGCTATGATGAGCACTGACCACCAGGAGGCAGACGCTCAATGCAGAAGCTGCCCCCTGGTGGCCAGTGTGCTCCCACAGGGGGAGCGCCGCTCAGCCAGTAGCCGGGCTCACAGCTGGAGAGTGTAGCGATGGCAGGAGCCTCTTCTGCCTCTGCAGCAATGCTAAGGATGTCTGACTGACCCCTGCTGAGAAATACCCCAATGATTAGTCAGTGTGTATTTCACAGAGCGAATTCCCGTAACATTCTTCAGAGTAAAAACACATCCACAAAACTGGAGACCATGTGGCCAGGTATATAGTTTGCGTGTTCAAAGGAAGCATGGCTGAAGTATATTCCCTAGGCTCTAGCACATAGAGAGACCTACACATTTTCTGAACAAATGAATCATGAATAAATGCATGGATGCCTGCACTGTTGGATATCCTTCAAATAATTCTGCCTAAGTACCAATTATTATCAACTGTGCTTCGGATATCTACATCAAATATATCATTTCCAAAGGCTACAAAAATGTTAATGAGTTTATTTTAGGAGGAGCAATTACCATTAATCACCAAATATCTTTCTATTAAAAAAATTTTTAAGTGCAAAAACATTCACACCTGC